TCAACAAAAAAGTGGAAGGCTCTCAACAAGATGGATTGACACAGTAGCCGCAACAATGGGGTCAGGTATAGCAGGGACCATGAGGCTGGCACAGGACTGGGCAGTGTTTCATTGTGTTGTACATGAGGTCAATACGAGTCAGAGACAACTCTATGGCACCTAACAACAACATGAAAAATAAGTGTATTTTTATGAAAAACAATTGTTTTCAAAAAAAGAATAGTGGAAAAGGCCAACATTGCTTTGCATTTTTGCAGACCGCTGTTGTGTCTGGCTTACTGGTACACAGCTGGAGTCTCAGGTCTACTTTTGCGTTCAATCTGTACAGTACGTTGGTTTGGTTGAAGTATGTGCAAAAAAAACCCAGTCCCGCATAGATATATATATATAGATGAGGCTGAAGAGATGACAGCCTGGGTACTGAAGAATCGGTGTGCACAGGACAGGGCCAGTGACCATATTAAAGTACTAACAAACGCGTAACTTCTCCCGGGCAGCACTCTTTAGAAACTAAGTGGTAAGCTCCCCATCACTGTGCAAACACAATCTATCTGGAGTAGGGCTGTTGCTGTTGTTAGATGCCCTGGGTTAGCTCCGACTCACAGCGACCCTATATGCACTACTGAGTGAAACACTGCTCTGTCCTGCGCCAGCCTCACAATCCTCGTGTGCTTGAGCCCACTGTTGCAGCCACTGTGTCAATCCATCTCGTTGAGGGTCATCCCCGTCTTTGCTAACCCACTGCTTTACCGAGCACTGATGTCCTTCTCCAGGGAATGGTCCCTTCTGACAACACGACCAAAGGAGGTGACACGAAGTCTGGCCATTCTGGCTTCCAAAGAGCATTCCGGCCGCACTGCTTCCGAGATGGATTTGTTCCTTCTTCTGGCAGTCCGTGGTATTTTCAGTATTCTTCGCCAGCACCATAATTCAAAGGCATCAACTCTTCTTCCGTCTTTCTTATTCATTGTCCAACTTTCACACGCATTATGAGGCGATTGAAAATAAGGAGACATATAGGGGATGTTCGCTGAACGGCGTGTGAGCTGGGCTTTCAAAGGCAGAGACTTTAAGCGTCACCCACCGAGCTCCAGGCTTCAATTTCCTTTTTTGTTGAAGTGGAAAACTCTATTTTTCTGCCACGTCCCGGACTCGCCCTAATAACTACGGAGCTTGAGACCCCAGAGGATTGACCAACCAAGCTAGGCTAATTGTGAACGACTTCCGGGAGAAGGCGTGGCCTGGTTCTCACAAGGACGACTGGGTTGGGATTGGACAACAAATGTGTCCTGCGCAGTCCCCGCCCCTCTTCCTCACTGTAGTAAACCAGGCAATACTTAACGCTTGCGAGCTAAGGAAGGGCGGCACTTCCGCCCGCCGACTCCGGAACTATCTGTTCGGGTCCGGGTTTCCAGCGAGAAGGTGAGAATGGCCAAGGCGGAAGTGGCTTGAGGCGCGTGGGCGGAGCTGCGCGTTGCTATGTCTGCCGCCTTGCTGCGGCGCGGCCTGGAGCTGCTGGGGCCACCCGAGGGTGAGAGGGACTTGCCCGGGCACGTCCGGCGCGGTCGGGTGGGTAGTGGGAGCTGAGGGCCGAAGTCCCGGGGGTGCGGAAAGAGCCAGGACGGCCCTCACCCCGGTGAGGATGGGTATCCTGCCCTCCCTGTGACCCAGGCCCGCGCCTCTCTTCCCCTACAGCCCCTCGGGCCGCGCCAAGCCGGGCCAAGCCGAGTGGGGCTCCGGTGAAGCGGGCCCGGAAGGCAAAGGCAACCCAGGCTCGGAAACTGCGGAACTCGGCCAAGGGAAAAGTGCCCAAGTCGGCGCTAGGTGAGCTCGTGATGGGGGGACGTGCTACTCCTGGGGTTGGTGTCGGCGCCCTTGAGGCAAGGCTTGACACGTTCCACTGGGATTTCTGGAGTACCTACTGTGTGCCTGGCGCGGGGCGGGTCCTGGCAACACGGAGGTGAAGGAAACACCGTCCGACTGTCGTGAGGAGAGAGGCATCAGAGACTCTCCAAATCAGTAAACAGTTGTCGAGTGTGACGGCACCCGACGTGAAAGACCACGGTGCTGAGAGGAGTGTAAGGGGAACTTAGAAGGAAGTGTAGTGTTGTGGGAACAGCACGTGCAGAGGTCCTGAGTCAGAAAGGAGCTGTTGCCTTTGAGGATTTGAAATAAAAAAGGGCTGAGGCAGGTGGGCAAGGGCAGGGTGGTCAGAGCTGAAGCATTTAATAAACAGCCCTTTAATATTTGCACATGTCCCTCAATTAAGCCTCACAACCACCCCAGGAGGGAGGCACTGTTACTACTCTCTTTGTACAGCCTGATCATACAGGTAGTGGGTGGTGGTGGTGGTGGGTGCCAGGTGCCATGGAGTTGATTCTAACTCACAGCAACCCCACGTACAACAGAATGAAACACTGCCCGGTTCTGCGCCATTCACACAGCCCTTGCTGTACGTGAGCCCATCGTTGGAGCCACTGTGTCCACGCATCTCATTGAGGGTCTTCTTTTTCGCTGATCCTCTTTACCAGGTAGTCAGTAGTGAGGCTGGATTCGAAACCAGACCGAGTCTTACTCTTACCTGCATCATTCAGGTCGGAGACATTGTGGTCTGGACAGTGGCAAAGGCAGCAGAGATAACAAGAATTGTGCAGGTGGAAGACACATTGATGAGCAGTGTCGAGGGACTTGGCAGGGTATTGGCTGTGAGGATCGGGGAAGAGAGACATACAGAGAACAGAGTTGGGTTTCTCACAGACTGGCTTGGGTCATGTGGTACCACTTACTAAGTAGTAAAGATTTGGGAGTGGGCGATGGCAGGTATTTTGACATGTGGCAGGACTTGGTGAGCTCCCAATGTCTTTGAAACCCTCAGGCCTACTGCAGGAAGGATATTCACGTATCTGTTAAGAGGATTATGAATGCCAAGGGGAACACAGCATGAGGCAGGTGTGGAGGCGGGAATATGAGACACGTTGGAGCCACTTGGGGTTTGCTGAGAAGCAGGAGCATGGGATGCCAGAGTCACCCCTTTGACCCCAGCCCTGGGGCTCACTTTGTTGCCGCCCCCATTGGACTGAGAGCTTCTTGGGGGGACCGACCTCCCTTGGCTCACTGCGGCCCTGGTGTCCAGCACAGGGCTTGCACATAATTGAATGAGCGGAGCACTGAGCCTCATCGGCCATTCTGAACGCACTGCTGTCTGCCATCTTGGTTGGAGCTACAGCTACTCTTCTGGGATTACTGCCGGAGCCTCCTGACTGGCCCCCCTCCTTCCCCTCCCCACCGCATAATCTTGTTCTTCAGCCAAAGTGATCCTGTAAAATCCTAAGTGAGACCTGCCTGTGCTTTGCCCCACACCCTCCAGCGGCTCCCTCGTACTCAGTGAAAGCCTGCAAAAAAGGGCAGGGAGGCGGCATCTTCTGACCTCCATCTGCACGATGGGGACATGGAATCCCCACCAGCAGCCCAAGGCTTACTCTTACGAGGCCAGACACGCTGCCACCCTCCAGCCTTTTTACCAGCTCTGATGCCAGCCCAGCTGTCCCTTCTACGGCACTCACTGCTTCTCTGCTGGGTTCAGTAATTCGTTGCAGTGGCCACACTGAACTCCCAGACAATACTCATGATTGTGGGATTTATTAGGGACGTAACAGGCTACAAGTCAGGTTCAGGAACGCTCTCAGGATGCAGTTCTTCGATCAGGGCAGTCTCCCCTCTGCTGCGCCCTCAGACACGCCTCACTGGCCCTTGGCCTCTCGGCCTGGCCTCTCCCCTGCCTGGGCAAATGTTCAAAGCTCTTTCAGCTCTGCCGATAGGTAGACCCAGGTGCACCCCACTCCGCCAGCAAGCCTCCTGCCCAAGGGCACTCAGCTCTCTCCACCATGGGCCGGGAAGCCCACCACTCTGTCTCCTGCCTCGTGGTTCCTCAGCCTGTTGTCTCATCCACTTGTCTGTGCCATCTTTCTGAGGAGATGGTCCAGTGCAGGGATCTTGAGTCCAAGGAGATCACGGGTCCAAGGACACTCTCCACTCCAACTCTGGTTCTTCTCTCTTCATGGCAGTGAGATGCCCGTTTCTGCCTCTAGGAGGGCTCATTTTAAGCCCAGCAGCATAGCCAAACTCACCAGTCCTCACATCAGAATTCCACACACCTTATTTGCAGGGTCACACCCAAAAATCTGATGGGAGTCAAAGGCCGGATAGAAAATTCATACCAGGTCATTCCCTGCACCACAAAGCCTGAGTTATCACCACGGCAGGTGAGGCCCCACACTCCCCGCTGCAGTCCAGCCACCTTCTCTTCTTGAGACACGTTGGTCACACATCTGTCGCAGAGCCTTTGCACTGGCTCTTCCCTGTGCCTGCAGTGCTCTTCCCATGATGCCGCACGCTCCCTCCCTTGATTCTGGTCAGATGTCATTTCCTAAAGCCTTCTCACACCCCCACCCCCTGGTACTGCCATTTCTGTCACCTACCTTGTTTTTCTCTGTAGAGTGAAAATATGTATCACCCTCTCTTCCCACTAGAATGTAAGCTCCCTGCGGGCAGGGATTTTTGTCTGTTCTGTCACCCACTGTAAGCCCAGTGCTTAGAATGGTGCCTGACACATCATAGGTGCTTGGGACGTAATTGTTGGCTAAGTGAATCGATTACTTGTGCGCCCGGGAAGAGGGGAGGGCTTTCAGCAGGATTTGGGTGTGGATTTGAATAGAAGGCTGTGGCAACAGGCCAGGGAGGAGATGACAGGGATGTGGGACAGGGCTTGGGGAGTGAGTCTGACATGACGTCCCCTCCTGCCACCACCCCCAGCTGAGTTCCAGAAGCGAGAATGTCAGGACCACCTCAGAGCAAACCTGAAGTTCATGACCTGTACGAGAAGCACCGTGGCTGAGGCTGTCACCCAGCAGGTTGGCCTGGGAGGCGGAGGCTGCGGAAAGGGACCTTGGGGATCCTGGCTGAGGCTGTCTCCTGGGATCCATGGGGGTCACAGTCAGAACCTAGGGCAGAAGCTGGGCCGTCCCAGGGGGCCCCGAGAGCTGGACCGCCTTGCTGTGCCAAAAAGGCCCCCCCTGTAGGGAGGGGAGGCTGAGCCCTGCCCCACACCCTCCTCCCTTGGGGCATCTGCCGGTGGGAGGGTGGTGCTGTCTCCCAGACTGTGGTGAAGGCCACTTGGGGGCAGCACTTGCTTGGCTGTGGCAGGTTCAGACCCGAAAGCTGTCCTGACACCCTAACTCCTGTGTCACCCCCAGATTCTGCTCCAGAACCGGGGACGCAAGGCCTGCGATCAGCCTGTGGCCAAAATGAAGAAGAAGAAGAAGGCTGAGGGCACAGTGTTCACGGAGGAGGACTTCCAGAAGTTCCAGCAGGAGTACTTCGGCAGCTAGGGCCCCGCTGTGCACCGCCTGGTCAGCAGATGGCGCCGCGGGGTCAGCCTGGCCTGGAGAAGACCCGGAGCTGGATTCCGGTAGAGGCTGGAACATCGAGGCCCTGGAGAGGATTTACACTCAGCCCGGAGCTGCAGCTGCAGGCTCAGGAGGAGCTGTGACCAGAAGGAACATTTCTGATTGTTTGGTTTGCTTTTGCTCAGGGAGGGCCTGTGGCCTGTTTGCTGTGGAACAAGGCCAGTTCGGGGACATCCCCAGACTAGGGAGAGGGCTGCTGGGTGGTCCCCTGGATTCTAATAAATGTGGATTCAGGAGCTGCCTGTGTGCTGCTGACCTGATGGTGGGTGTTGCTGTGTCCCCCAGCACCAAAGGGCTTCCCCCACCCCCACTTCCTCCTGGTAGCTTTTAGAGCTTCCTGTCACAAGTGCCCAGGGCCAGGGCCAGCCCCAGCCAGGCAGCCCTCAGATCCAGCAAGGCCAGCACCGGGTCTTACCCCTCCCACCCCCATGCACATCGGGTCTGCCGTTACCATCAGAGAGTATCAGCCAGGCCACCTGTCGCCCAGGGCTTAAGAATGGCCCAGAGGGGTCAGGTGCAGGGTTTTGGTTTTTGGTGTTTTGATTTTGTGTAGGAAGGGACGGTGGTCTTGAGGGAGCCTTAAAAAACAATTTCATGCTCAGGTTTAAGCCTGGGCAGAAGAGTGTTGGCTGCTGAGCGAACAGGCTAGGCCTCTCCCAGCAGGCAGTGTCTGTGGGACAAACACATGTGAGTGAAGGAACGGGACAGGTGGAGCTGGTGTGCGTTGTAGATCTAGAGGCCAGGAGCTGCTCGGAGAGGAGGCTGCCCCAGCCCAGAGGGCTCCCAGGCTGTGGTTTCGGGTGGAGGGTGGAGGGTGGATGGGTTAGAGGGAGTGACATCTGCCAGCAGCATGGCCAGGTCCCTGATGGGCTGTTGTCCCACTGTGGAGGTTGGGAGTGGCCTGTACGGATCTGAAGAGGAAGGAGTTTTCACTCCCAGCCACTTCCCCAGGTTGGAGTGTCCACACCCAAGCCATCCACGTGTCACCCCCCGACTGGCATCAGCCCAGCTGCCCTCGTTCTAGAGGTAAGACATAGCAGAACCATCCTGTTTCTAGGGGTAAGACAAACCGAAACTCAGTTTCCATTCCTGAGTGGGGACAGATGCAGGTGGCCACAGAACCTGCCTCTCCATGTGGCCTCAGCGGCAGGAGGCCCCGCTGCTCACCAGAAGTCCAGCCAGGCACAGAGAGAGCAGAGACCTCTCCAAACCTGCCCTCACTGGGCTTGCCCGGAGCAGGGAGAGATGCACAGGTCTCAAGCCTCCACTCCTTGCCCCCTGTGCGCCGAACTGAGCCCCCCTGGAGAGAGGCGGACCCAGGACCTCAGGCTCACCTTCCTCTCAGCGTTTAAGAAGCTGGCTCAGCTGCGGCCTGAAGAACAGGCCCACCTGGCCGCTGAGCTCCAAGGGCCCGCTTCCAACCCCTTCTATAGACACACCTGAGGTTACACAATCCCCTCGCT